ACAAATTTTAGTAGGTTAAATTCATTTAAAACAATCCAGAGAGGCACTAATGAGCTGTGTAAGTAACATGTCACAAATGCACCACAAAACCAATGATATACCTGAGATACCTAGATAATATTTTCATCCTCTGGACAGATGATTTAAACTCCCTCACAGATTTCCACTACAACTGCCACCACCTGTCCATTAAACTCTTTCTGGAACACTCCCACACCAGCATCAACTTCCTGGATATCACGATCAGCTTCAACAGTGGAACCCTACATACAGCTAGATACAAGAAACCCATGGATCATCACACCTACCTTCACAGATCCAGGAACCACCCCAAATACACCAAGAGATCTGTTATCTACAGCCAGGCACTCAGATACCACAGAATATGCTCTGAGGAGGAAGTCTAGGGTATACACATTAACACACTCAAAACCACCTTCACCAAACAAGGAAACTCCACCAGAGAAGCAGGTCATATCATGGAACAGGCCACCCAAATACCCTGAGAGAACCTGCTCCAATACGGAAATAAAACCCTCTCCGACCACACATCCCTAGTTGTCACCTACCACCCCACACTGGAACCCATACAGGGTATCGTCCAACAACCACAATCCCTACTTGATGGGGACCCCATCCTGAAAGAAATCTTTCCTGAACCCCCTTTTCTGTCCTTCAGACAACCCTCCAGCCTCTCCGGATTTATCATCAGAAGCAAGCTCCCTACAGGCCAGGACATACCAACTCAAAGCAGCACCAGACCCTCCCAGAACAACAGATGCAAAACCTGTGGACATATCTCCACTGCTACAATGATCAACACCTCCCATGACATACCTTTCAAGATCCATGGGTCCTACTCATGCCTATCACAACATATGGTATACCTCATCCAGTGCATTATGGGTACAGGCTACACAGGGATAACCCGCACAACACGTTCAAAAGACGAGCCTAGGAGCTTAAATTCATAACTCTGCTAGACACTAAAAATCATAGACTGAATAGAAACATGGGGTTTATATCTTATTACAACAATCTGTAACCCACTCACAACATCCCTCCAGCTGCCTTTCCACACACCCCTTCATGTTCCCCCTATGACTGGAGGGGTGTTAATGGGGGTCCCTTGAAATATGTGTTAACTACTGATGCTAATCTATCTATTCCACCTTGTATTTAGCTGTGATACCCTGAGGGCAAGCCTACACTTAAAATGCTGCCTCAGTGAATCGGCGCAGTGAATCCACCTCCCTGAGAGGCGGTAGCTGTGTTGGTGAGAGAAACCCTCCCCCTGACACAGTGCTGTCTACACAGAAGTTAGGTCAGTAAAACTGCGTCACTTGCAGGGGTTGGTTTTTCACACCCCTGAGCAACATAGCTGCATTGATATAGGTCTGTAGCATAGACCAGACCTTAGTATGTTTCCCAGACCTGAAAGAGAGCTCTGTGTAATCTCAAAAGTGTGTCCCTCTCACCAACAGACATTTGTCCGATAAAAGATGTTACCTCACCTGCCTTGTCTCTCTACACGTCACCTGACATTTCATTGTTGCATGTTCAGCCCAGAGTCTCTCACAAACATTGTCATTATTTCTTAATGTGTTAAGTCTACACTGTGAACTGGGGATGTGATTTCCAGCTTGATGAGGAGCCTGGCAGGTGAGCTGGCAGGAAGCTAGACAGGTGTCCACGGGAGAGGCAGGTAGATTTTGGAATCTGCCTGTGTTCCATTGGAACTTCAGCAAAATTTGGCAAATTCTGACAAAACAATGTTTCTTCCGAATCTCTCGGACCGGCTTTAGTCAGGACCTCAGGTCTGTGTCTCATGTGAAAGATAGCACCATCCTCCTGTAGTGGGGCAGCTGCCCCACTCCATTAGGCCAGAAAGGGTTTAAAGCTAGCCCTTGGAGAGGGCTGGGGCTGAGAGCCAATAAGAATAGGCTGACTGGGAAGGCAGCCACAGCTGGGGCTGTGCCCAATTAGGAGACCGCTGGCCCTATGAAAGGCCTGTGAGCCAGGAGCTGAGTCAGTCTCTCTCTAGTGGTGGAGAGAGAAGGATCTAGCTGCCTGGGAGCTGTGAACCAGAGGTAGAGCAGTGCTGGGGGAAGGCAAGGGAGCGGGGGAGCTCCAGCCTGGTAAACCCCCAGGCTGTAGGCCTTGGTGAAGGCCTGCACAGGTGCTGGGGTTGCAAAGGCAGCTGGTTGAACCTCCTTGCCAATGATGAGTGGCCACGACAGATGGCAGTTTGCCCCAGTGAGCGGGGGCTAGATGGTGACTTGAAATAGCCACTGAGGCAAGGTGGGTTTAGAGGGTTGGGGGTTCCCCTGGGAGGGGAGACCCAGACTGTGGGTTACTACTGGGGGCAGAACCCCAAGGCAAAAGGCACTGGTGTACAGGAGGGACTTGGGTGTCAGCGGCAGGCGAGACACCGGTCAGGAGGAGGTGCTCTGTATGCTGGAGTGCTAATTCCCAAGACGGCCAGCAGGAGGCACTGCACCGGTGAGTCATCGCATCGCTACACCCCCCAAATACCAGCATGGAGCACTTGCTTAGCAGTGACTCAGTCGAAAGTCAGTGGAATACCTACTGCATTACCTGTACAGCCTCCTATGAGGCCTGGGTTTCCCTACAGGTCTCCCATTTACGTATTACCCAGTCTGATCCAGTCTAGCTTATGAGAGCTAATAAGATCACAACGTGTGGCAGTATTGTTGCTGGAAGCACATTACACTGTGGTGAGGGGGTGGAGTTGTAAGTTGGTAATGCTGTAAAAGGGTTTCTTCCAGCGACCGGGAGGTCAGGGTGACTGGCAGCACACAGCCCTGTGGCTGGACTGTGGGGCTTTGTATTATTACAAATCAGGAAACCAGATATGGGTAAATACTCTCAGGCAAGAGGCTGGAGCTGTGACCCTGTGCTAGTGAACTGTTGGTGCCATACTAGGCTAGAAGGTGACTAACTGAAGACTAATGGCATATCCGGGCAGTGAAGAGACTGGGGCTTTGCAACCACCCTGACTTACGCTTATTAAGTCTAGAAGAGACTGTTCAATCATTCCTTCTACCCTCTCCCTCTCATGCATATTCCCCCCAATACTGGAATTCTGCATACCACCTGCACCCACCACTGCACATGCAGACCACTGCCAGGGTGAACATGTAAAGCCCTGTATTAACTCATCAAATCACACATGGACAAGCTCTTCTACTCCCTCCGGCAGTGGAACCAGAAGGAAAGGAAATTCACCATCAGAACCCCCTCTGCTGGCTTAGCGCCTCACAAATTGTAAGGCCGGACAATATACACACCTGGTCAATGTAAAAGATATATACCTCTCACACCCATACCATCTTGTCACATAGATACAGATACCTGTCCGCCCCGTGTACATGCCTCACACTAGATCCATGCCCTCTCACCATACAGATACACTCTTCTCTCCTCCTCTCTCACCTTCTTACTCAGGTATAATAAACATCTCCACCAGTACAATTACACCTTAAACCTCATCCACCCTTGTTGCCCACACATGACATTTCTCTAAATGCCCAGGGTCCTCTCCCCCTGCAATAGGAACAAAACAACACAAGCAACTGAGACACAGTGTAACGCACAACTTGATGTTGCTAATTACTTGACAGTGGGCATAAAAGAGGGATTAACTGGTGCCTCAAGGGGCTGTTACTGAATCCTAATCTTATCTTTCCCTCCCCCTTCCTCTTCCACTGCCATCTGAAGTAATGAACTAGTTATAAATATCTAATTAGATAATTATATGCTGGCCTACATGGAGCGTCTTGTGTGATGGAATTCCCTGGACCCCTGGAGGAGGGAGTCTCAGTGGAGGAGGGGGGAGGTTTGTGTGTGTGTATATGTGCGCATGTGTGGAGTGGGGGGCAGTGGGAGGGAGAAGGCGCTTGTTTCATGCTCTGAATGATTTCTAGAATTTTGGCAGCCTTGGAGACCAGAGGAAATGTAATTAATTTAGCAGTGGAGGGAGCCTGGCCTGACCCTGCTGGTCCGAAAACAAAACCACCAAAATTCTTCATGCAATAATTTCAACACAAAATTGTTTTGTTATGAAATGTTTGCAGTGGTCAGAGGTGCAGTATCAACAGCCCTGAATGCCCTGTTTTGCCAGAGAACAGGTACAGCATGGGCAGCAGCAGTGAAAGCTTCCTTCATACAGTACCCGCCAGCGTGCCTCAGCCCTGTCATGGAGGGACCACTAGAGAGGAGAAGGGAGTTTGGTCTCCATGAGCTCTATGTGGCTTGAAAGCTTGTTTCTCTCACCAGCAGAAGTTGGTCCAATAAGAGATATTGCCTCCTCCACCGTGTCTCTTTGATGAGGCTGTCACTGAGAAGGCCACCCCTGCCAGTTTGTTGAGGGGTTTGTGTTTGTGTGGTGTGCATACTCATCCCACTAGCAATTGGTCTCGGGCTCATTTCTCACAGGTCACTGGGAGCTGGCAAGCAGTTATGACTGTTAGTTCCTGCCAGCTGAGGCTGGGGTTGTTGATCTGCATAGATTTCAGGGTGTTTTCATCCCATCGCCCTTCTGTGGGAAAGGAAGAAGATGGGATATCATATCCAATGGTGATTGTGCCAAAAACCTCTTAGAAAGATAGGACTAGCAGGGACCTCTTGGGTCATGGAGTCCAGTCCTCTGCTATCTGTCACAAGCTTATCATCATCCTTCCTTCTTGGGGCTATAACGTGAGGCCCGGGGTAAAGAGGATGCTGAACAGAAATGGCATTGTCCCCTGCCTATCATTTGGGAGTGAGACCAGGGGGCGGGAGCAGTGACCATACCTGAGTGACCCAACCTGATTTGGACAATAATGAATTTCCAATCTGCCTGTTTTATTTTCATTTAATTTTTTCTCTCTGTCTTTTTTTCCATTCCTCTTTTCTACTCTTCTTTCTTTCTGCTTCTCCCCTTCTCTCCCTCCATCTCAATCTCTCCTCCTCCTCCTCTGCCTCTTCCCCACCTGCAGGCATGCGGATCCTGGTGAATTTGCTCCTGGACACCCTGCCCATGCTGGGGAATGTTCTGCTTCTCTGCTTCTTTGTCTTCTTCATCTTTGGCATCATCGGAGTACAGCTGTGGGCTGGTCTGCTCAGGAACCGCTGTTTCATGGAGGAGAACTTCACAATGTGAGTGCACGGGAGATGGCTACCCCCTTGTCCTGTCTGCTGCAGATTCCTTCCTTCCCCACCCTACTCTTTACTTCCTTCTCCCTTCTCTTGGTCACTGAAGATTTCCAGAGGCAGTGCCAAGGATGCTAAAAAGTCTAGCCCTCCCCCCGTCCCCCATTTCCACCCTCCCCTAGCCAGAAAGGTTTCTGTTTCCTTATGCGCACACACTTTCTGAAAGCTACCTCTGCCTGTGGAAGGGACCTGTCAGCATAATGGGCTACAGCAGCATTCCTCTTCTGCATCAGCCAGAGCAGTCTTCATTTCTGGGATCCCACTGCTACCTCTCCCATCCCCCTTGATTTCAGCTCAAACCGTTCCAATGAATAGAATCTCATCTCTACAGTCAAGAGGCCCAGTCTTCCATTGCCGTCCACCTGTGCAAAAGGGATGCAGGATGCCACGACCCTGATACTGAGCTGCATTCTGCAAAAATCAGAATGGGAAGGAGGGCAAAGAGGCCTGCACACCTTCTTTGCAGCCGCCAGACTCTTGGGCGAGCTGGGGACTGGTCCAGCCCTAATTACGTCTGGCTGCCCACAGCCTCAAGAGATCATTCCGGTTGCCAGGAATATCTATGAGAATAGTTAAAGGATTAGAAGACAGGCCTTATAGTGGTAGACCCAAGGTGCTCAATGTATTTAGGTTAACAAAGAGTAAGTTCAGGATGGCTTCGATCATAGTCTGTAGGTACCTACATAGGGAACAAGTGTTTGATAATGGGCTCTTCAAGCTGACAGACAAAGCTCTAGGCATATGTGGAATGTCAGATGGGATCTCTGTGTTCCACGGCACATGCTTAAGAGTGATCAAGGTTCTCTGCCCAAAGAAGGGAAGGATGGTCCAGTGGGTAGGGCACTGGCTTAGAACGTGAGAGATCCAGCTCTACCATGGACTTTCTGTATGACCTTGGGCAAGTTACTTAGTCTCTGTCCTCAGTTCCCCCTCTGTAAAATGTGGATAATAGTATGTCCCTACCTCATAGGGGTATGGTGAGGATAAATACGTGGGTGGGGGGAGAGGAGAGAGATCGTGAAGTGCTTTGAGATCTACTGATGGAAAGTGCCATGTAAGAAATAGGCATGATTAGTATTACCTGTGGTCAGAGAGAGCATGTACAGCTCCGTTTACTTCTTTCAGTAACACAATGAACCATGAAAATGTCTGTGGGTGATCAGAACTCCAGTTACCTTGCATGGGGAGGACAGAGCACCAGTGCCAGACTGCCGCAATCCCTCCAGATGCTTATTGTCTTCTTTGCAGCTTAAACTGATCTAAGGTTTTAAAGTGTCTTAGCCCCTTAAACAAATCTAAGGCCTTAGATCAGTTTAAACTGCTTAAAAATCTGAAGTGTTGGATCAATTTAAACTGTTTAAACAATTTTAAGTCCCTAGATCATCTTAGACTGAAAAAAAATATTGCAAAAACACAATTTAGGGGGCAGCAATGGGACTGGAGTGCTAACCAGGGGATGGAAGCTCCTTAAAGCTGTCTTATACTGTGTGTTTATAAGGGAAAATGCATAAGCAGGACTTTGTTCTTCTCTCATGTGCACCAGTGTAAATCAGGAGTAACACCGATGAGACTATGGAATTACACCCATGCAGAGCTACTGTAACTGTGTGAGGTGAATCAGGCCCACAGCCTGCACAACCATCAGATACTAGTTAATCTTTGGCTGACCATTGCTGGTTAAGTCTACAGAGACTCAGTTTACTAATAATATTAATATGCACTGATATGTCTTCATAGATTAGTGTCTATTAGTTATAGAATTAGGAGCTTTTCTTTTTTCTTTTTCTTTGGACACATTCCCATCCACCACAATATTTAATGCAAAAAATCTATATTAATGCAACATTCAGGCTGTGTATTATAGCTCTGTGAAGACTGGAAATGCACAAGTTAAGGTTGAATGCAAAATCCTAAATCTTCTCCCTTTCATTTGCTCATTATTGTCTAGTCTTAAATTAGGTGAGCACAGATTATTTCAGATACACGTGTATTTTGAAGGTTGTAGAACAGATTGTGTTACTGCAGAAATATCATGTGATCTTGAAATTAAAACGTTCTCTGTAGTACATACACACAAGGGGTCAGAGTTAAGATTGTTCATTCAGTTTTAACTTCTTCATTTATTGACTCTTGAGAGCTTAATTGTGCAACTTTAACTTTGCATTAAGTGGGGGTTTGTACTTTATTATAGAAAATTTACCGCCAAATGTTATCAAATTGATGGTCACATTCACAGGCACATCACCATGTAGCCCTGTACATTTGCTTTACATTGCATCAGTTGTAGGCTTTGGTGCCAACCGGGTGGGAGAGCTGACTGCACAAGTTCCCTCCTTGTTCTTGAGAAAATGAAAACTTTCCTTTGGCAGCTGTAAAATCTTGTTCCCATCCCCCAAATCTGCTGATGGTGGGATTTGTCTTGGGACTGTGCAGTTTGACCAGGACAGGGCTCTGCAAAACCAGGGACCAGCTCAAGAAACTTCCTATGTCTCTATTCAGCCCCTCACCAAAATAGATCTGAAGACCCTTTGTATGCAAATTTCATGCACCAAAGTGGGAGTTCCCAGTTCCGCAAATGCCACTAAGGTGCATGTTTTTCACAGTAACTTCATTAGTACATTTTTCCTCTTCCTAGACAAGGCGACATCATTCTCCCCCCCTATTACCAACCCGAGGAGGACGATGAGATGCCCTTCATCTGCTCGCTGTCAGGAGACAATGGCATCATGGGGTGTCATGAGATCCCCCCGCTGAAGGAGAGGGGCCATGAGTGCTGCCTGGACAAGGATGACTATTATTACTACAACTCTGTCCGGCAGGAGTTCAATGTCAGTGGCATGTGCGTCAACTGGAACCAGTACTACAACGTGTGCCGCACAGGCAATGCCAACCCACATAAGGGTGCCATCAACTTTGACAATATCGGTTATGCCTGGATCGTTATATTTCAGGTACGATAAGGTTGGCTTCCTAGCCTCAATCCAGGTTTGTGACCAGATCCTTCTCTTGCCTCCATGCTTTTTCAGCCTCTAACTGAAATGAGTTAGGCTTCACATTCCAAGTCTTGTTGTGTTTCTCCCTACTGCAGCGATCTGGGTTGAAAAGGAGACTGAATTTGTAATTCAGATCTAGGTTCTAAGAACCCACTCCAGGTGGGAACTGAAATCCAGGCCTGTTTCTTCTCCTCCCCATTCCAGAGGCTGTACCCGGAGTTCAAGCCAGAGGGCACAGAAATCCAGTTCAGGTTTTCTTTCTTTTTGTTCCAGGGAAACAAACCATTTGAATGAATGGTTTCAGAGTAGCAGCCGTGTTAGTCTGTATTCGCAAAAAGAAAAGGAGTACTTGTGGCACCTTAGAGACTAACACATTTATTTGAGCATAAGCTTTCATGAGCTACAGCTCACTTCATTGGATGCATTCATCGGATGCATCCGATGAAGTGAGCTGTAGCTCACGAAAGCTTATGCTCAAATAAATGTGTTAGTCTCTAAGGTGCCACAAGTCCTCCTTTTCTTTTTACTGTAACGAGAGTGATCACTTAAGGTGAGCTATTACCAGCAGGAGAGCAGGGATGGGGGTGGGGGAACTTTTTGTAGTGATAATCAAGGTGGGCCATTTCTAGCAGTTGACAAGAACGTCTGAGGAACAGTGGGGGGTGAGGTGGGGGGGAATAAACAAGGGGAAATAGTTTTACTTTGTGTAATGACCCATCCACTCCCAGTCTCTATTCAAGCCTAAATTAATTGTATTCAGTTTGCAAATTAATTTAATGAATATAAATTGGTGACTAGTGCAGTTCCAGGTTATGTCTAGACTGCAGTCTCAGGGTGGGATTACAGCTTGAGCAGACATACCTGAACTAGCGTTAATCTAGCTAGTTCGGATTCTGGAGCTGTGCACATCTGTCAACAAAATCTAGCTCTGCAAGTAGTTACCCAGGGTTCTGGGTGAGTTCGTACAGCCTGCACCGAAGCCCATGCGGCCACAGCTTCACTGCTTCGGTACCTAACTAGTTTAGGTATGTCTACTCGAGCTGCAGTCGCATCCCATATGTATATAGACCTACTCTTTCAGGCTCTGTTAGCATGTCTCTTCACCTAGGAGAATCTCACTGATATTCTGGCCTGGAAATTTGGCTTCCTTGTAATGGATTCATTTTCTCACCTTTGTTGAGGTTTGAATCGCCTGCTCTGCTCACCAGCATCAGCCTGTGCCTCATGTAGAAATGAATATCCCAGCTGTTGAATGAATCCAGGAGTCCCACATCCTGGCTGTCTCTCTTGCTGTCTCTTCTCTTTGCAGGTGATCACACTGGAAGGGTGGGTGGAGATCATGTATTATGTGATGGATGCTCATTCGTTCTACAACTTTATCTACTTTATCTTGCTGATAATCGTAAGTACAGGGTAGCCTCTCACCCTAGTAGAATACTATTTTATGACTGAGAGTATTCCAGCTTTTTAAGCCAAGGGTTTGAGAAAGGGCATATATATAGATTGGAACCAATCTAGTCCAGGGAGCTGAGGAATCTAGGTCAGGTTCTCGTCTTCCTGGTTCTATGCCAAAGCATATAAGTGCAAGTCAGGTTTTTCTCTTCCTTCCAGCAGGATACACCCAGAATTTGTTCCAGGAGGCACAGAAATCCAGTTCAGGATTCTCTCCTGTTCCTAGGGATCTGCACCCACAGTCCATTCCAAGGGAATCTAGAATCCAGATCAGCTGCTTCTGCCTGGTAGTGCTGCATGTAGATTCCATTCCAAGTGCACAGAAATCCATTTCCACTTCTTTCCCTGTAGATCCTTTTTACACATTGGGCAGTCTCGAGTAGTTCCTCCTATTATTAATTTCTTTCTCTTACAGTAGCCCAAAGGACCCTGTTACAATCAAGTGCTGAGTGACATAATCACCCAAAATAAAAAACAGTCTCTGCCTCAAAGATCTTACAATCTAACTAGAGGCAGAACATAAGTTGGTGTAGTGCACAAGGGATGGAGGGGAAGGAGGAAGAGAAGTGTGACAGGAATAGGAAAATAAGGTTGTTTATTTTCAAGGGATGTGATCGTTCCCCTCTATTCGACACTGGTGAGGCCTCATCTAGAGTACTGTGTCCAGTTTTGGGCCCCACACTACAAGAAGGATGTGGAAAAATTGAAAAGAGTCCAGCAGAGGGCAACAAAAATGATTAGGGGACTGGAACACATGAGTTATGAGGAGAGGCTGAGGGAACTGGGGATGTTTAGTCTACGGAAGAGAAGAATGAAGGGGGATTTGATAGCTGCTTTCAACTACCTGAAAGGGGATTCCAAAGAGGATGGCTCTAGACTGTTCTCAGTGGTAGCAGATGACAGAAGAAGGAGTAATGGTCTCAAGTTGCAGTGGGGGAGATTTAGGTTGGATATTAGGAAAAACTTTTTCACTAGGAGGGTGGTGAAACACTGGAATGCGTTACCTAGGGAGGTGCTGGAATCTCCTTCCTTAGAAGTTTTTAAGGTCAGGCTTGACAAAGCCCTGGCTGGGATGATTTAATTGGGGATTGGCCCTGCTTTGAGCAGGGGGGTTGGACTAGATGACCTCCTGAGGTCCCTTCCAACCCTGATATTCTATGATTCTATTATATTAGTTAGGTGTACAGTTTGGAAGCTTTATAGGTTTTTGTGTGGTTTTGTTTTAAAGATGTGCTCAAGAGCTATTAACGAACCACTAACAAGCTGGACTTAATCTCTTTTGGGTTCGTACATGCAGAAATTCTGCCTGTCAAGTCATTTATGACACAATCATCACCATGGTATCTGGATTCTGGGTATCTCCTCGTTTCCAGGTTACTGTCCACGTGGAGAATACGGAGGAGACAAAGAGAGAAGCAATAAGTGCTAATGGAAAGGGAAAAGGAGGGAATATTTTTAAACAAAGCCTGATTGAAGAGCTTCATTGTGGCTGACAGCTGAAAGTGTCACTTCACCCTAGCTAAACTTTGTTTCTGTCTGTCTCTTTGAGCTGAGATCTCTTTCTTTCTCCTCTTTCCCTTTATTGCTCAGGAAGTGTCTATGATCCTTCTTTCTGCTTGGGTCTGAAATGAGCAGGAGCACTGGGTGCCTAAGTGAGAGGATGCATGGAAAGCTGGATGCCATTGCTTCTTTTGTCCCACAGGACCTGCAGACATGAACATCCTCCCTTCTCCTCCTCCTCCTCCTCCTCCTCCAAAAAGGGATTTTTTTTCAAAAACTATCATGGAGTCTGGCTACACAGGAACCAGACCCAAGAACAGAGGGGAAGCCCTAAAATGGGTTGTAGAATATATAGGATGTATCTGGTGAAGGCTCCGTCTCACTTCTTGATCACTTCCCTTGTAAGGCCTTTACTTAGCCTGTATTTTCGAAGTCTCACGATACATCTACCTTTCAAGCTTAAGGTTGTAATTTTCAGCTAAAATAGACGTAGGAATGCTAGCTGTGATTGACCTACCACGCTAAAAATAGCAGTGTAGCTGCAGCAGCATGAGCGGCATGGTGGGCTAGCCACCAGAAGTCAGGACGTAGGGTCCTGGGTGGGGTCGTGCTCAGGCAGTTAGCCCATCTCAACACACGACAGCAATGACACTTCTGTTTTTAGTGGGCTTGCTCGATCAAAGCTTGCAGGCCGGTTGAAAGTGTAGATATATCCCAAGTGGATGTGGAGTGGAGATGAGACAGGCCTAGCTAATGGCCTATTTTGCACCATTCCGTTGAGTTTGTGAACCCCCCGCCACCCACTCCTGCAGGGAAATGGGATCTCAGGAATGTTCTTGGAACTCATCCCCAGTGGAATTCTCCACATACAACTGCTTAGCTCATCATCTCATTCAAAATAAAGTGTTTCCACTTGGTGGGGTGCGAGGCCTGGGGCCAAGGGGGAATTTCCATTGTGTTCTTTTACTAAATATTTGTCTTTGTTTTCTGGCCTGTTGACCCCATTACACACTCACTAGTGTAGGAACAGAGTCCCCTGTGAGGGAAAAGAGAAATGGAAATGGCGAGGGAAAGCCATATCTTCAGCAAGAAGACAACAGAAAGCTGTCCCCTTTCCCAGTGGCACTGTGTACTGATGGGCTGAAGCATGGGCTAGGGGAGAGCATGGATGCAGGGAGGTATTTTTTCTTTGAGGGGCTCTGTTTATGGTTGGGGGAAAGAAAAACCAAAGGATGGGTGCAGGTCTATCAGCCTCTTCAAATCTAATAGACTTTTAAAAATCTTGAGGCAGAATCCCTTAAAATGGTGGAACAGCCTCTCCCCACCCCACCCCCAAAATGGAAAGTGGTCTTCTGAAGTCTCCACCCTAGCACCCTTTGGTAGAACTCCCCTGTCACCTTAACAAGAGATGTTATGTCTGAAGCAGTTTGTCCAAGAAACAACTCCCAAAGGGGCAAACCAAACCCTCTGTGTTTTCTATGAGTTTGAAACAATTTTCTTTCCGTCGCAATTCATTCATTTCCCCACAGGAACACACATTTTGGCCCCTTTTTCACCTGAATAGCACCATTGATTTAACCATGTTTGTACAGTGTAACTAAGGATAGAATTTAGCCTTGTGTCCACATCTGCAATGTCCACTGAGGTGAGCAGGAGTTGTGCGTGCCGTTCTAAAGGCCGAATTTAAACGTGGGGGCTGGTTCCCTCTGAGTAAATTCAGATGCTCCCAAACCACCTGGATGCTACAGGTGAACATTCCATCTCTGGAAGAGGAGGTGTCTTGCCAATTCAAGATTAACTCGCAGTGATTTGAACTTAGTCTCTGCATTTGTACAGTCATCTGAAACCCTCAATTAAACACTCAGCCTGAGACTGTGCAGCTGAATGCCATTGATTTTTTTTTTCTATGCACACCCCATTCATGATGGGTTTGCTTGCTTGTTTGTTTGTTTTTTTGGCAGGCACATGCTCAGCACAAAGACCCAAGGCCAAATTCATTTCTGGGGTAATTCCATTGCCTTCAGTGGAATTATGCCAGGGATGCACTTGATCCCATGTCATCATCTCTGCTTGTGTAGGGTACCCTGTAGCAAGGGAGTAGTCTCAGCGCACCCCACCCCATGGCATGGCACTGCCATCACACCATCTCAGTGCCCCCTCTTGGGTCTCCAATCTATTCACATGCACTCAGAAGTTTTAATAACATTCCCCTTCTTGAGGTCTAATTTATTAGGACCTCACAAAACAAATACAGTTCCTCTGGCCCTTCCGTGCTCCAGCCCTTCCTTCCTTGGGTCTTCAGGCCCTAGCTCTCTCTCCACTCCCAAGCTCCCTTTGAGCAGGGAAGCTCTGCTGGTGCTACTCCAGGCCATGTGTCTCTTTGGGGAGACCTCCCTCTAGGTCTTTTCTAGCACTGGTCACTGGGCTCAGATTCCTTCTTTTGGGAAAGAGTCTCCACAGCCTGTCTTGGGACTATGCTATAATCCAGGCAGGCTTCCCCAACCCACCCTCATCCTAGTTCTACCAGAAGAACCTTCTCTACTTCCTCCCCACATAAGTCACACATGGCTCTCACTTGGGACAGAGCTAAGTGCACTTCTCTTTAATACTCAGCCAGTGGCCACGTGGCTCAGGCTCCAGGAGCCATTCCCAGCTTGATCTGGTGATCCTTCTTAGGACTTCCTGTTCTTAAAGGGGCCATGCCTTGGACAGGGCCGGCTCTAGGCACCAGCAAAACAAGCAGGTGCTTGGGGCGGCATATTTCTAGGGGCAGTATTCCGGCGCCGGCCACACTGCCCCTAGAAATGTGCCCCCGCCACCCCAGCTCGCCTCCGCCTGCTCCCCTGAGCGTGCCGCCGCCGTCACTCCACTTCTCCCCCCCTCCCACCCAGGCTTGCTGCGTGCGAAACAGCTGTTTCGCGCAGCAGGCCTGGGAGGGAGGAGAAGCCGAGTGTCAGCGCTCTTGGGGGAGGCAGTGGTGGTGTAGCGGAGGTGAGCTGGGGTGGGGGAGCGGTTCCTTTATCTCCCCATTACTTCCTGCACTCCCCCCCACCCTCACTCACCTCTGCTCCGCCTGCTCCCCTGAATGCACTGCCTCTCCCTTGCCTGAGAGGAAGGGGTGAGAAGCGGAGTGGCGGCGTGTTCAGTTCAGGGGAGCAGGTGGAGTAGAGGTGAGGTAGGGCAGGAGGTTGCGCGGGGGGAGCCACAGGAAGCAATCGGGGGGGGGGGGAATGCGGCACACCCGGGGGATGAGACAGGGCCGGGGATTTGGGGAAGGGTTTGGGAAGGGGCAGAGTTGGGGCAGAGCTGGGGGTGGGGGGGCACAAAAAAAAAGCGGGGGCTACCAAAAATTTTTTTGCTTGGGGAGGCAAAAATCCTAGAGCCGGCCCTGGCCTTGGAACAGGGTTGACTGACTCCCTCCCCTGCCAGCCCCCACTGCCTTTAAAGGAGACAGACCACTCTGTGAAACGCACCACTCACATTCATAATAACCATCAACCTCCTTGCCAAAGACCTCGTGGGCAATATGTATGTGGTGAGTTAGGCACTTAACAGAAAAAAGACCTCAGGTTCTTGAGGCCTGAAGCTGCTAGTTCGGAAATCAGAGTTGAGTCCAACGCACCCTTTGACTCTTCTCCTGTGTGTCCGTGGATTTTCCTGTTGTACTAAGAATAAAACAAACACATGCGCTCATATTTAATGACTTCAACAGAGTGGTTCATGAGTTGGTCGTCCAGTAGCTATATCCAGTCCTCCTCCTCCCCCTTCCTCTTGATTTTAGATGAGCCCATGGAGGAAGGACTGCTTTGCGGCACAGGATTAGGAGACGGGCGATCCGAGTTCTATTCATGACTCTGACACAGTCATACTTTGTGATCTTGGGTAAATCGCTTCACTTTTCTGTGCCGCAGTTTCTCCATCTGTAAGATGGGGATACGTCTTCTTTTTCCCCCCCTCCAGTTAGTTTGTGAGGTTCCTAGACAGCACAGTGAAGGGCACCTTAGAAATGCCTATTAAAAAAAACAACAATTCTTCCCAAACTCCATGCTCTGATTCATTCCATATGAGGGGAGGGAGACAATGTAAATGGGAAAGTGTATGTGTGGTGTGGTGGGGAGGGCATGTGTGAAGGAGATTTGGACTCCCACTCACTCATCAATAAAAACAAGATGAGAGTATGAACTACCCAGAATCCTCTGAGGGAAAGGGATCTGTAGCAAACAGCAGTTTCCTTATTTTCTCTCCTCCTTCCTAGGCCACATAAAAAATCTGAAGGGCAGATGGGCTGAAGTGGGGGAGGGCTCTGTGGATGAAGGGGAACGGATTTAGAACTGCTTTGAAGGGCATTGAGAAGGCAGGGAGAAGCACTTTATTTTGAAACCGCATATATTGTCCTAATGCTGATCTGGCCAGGAATGGCTTCATTTTTCAAAGGCTTATTTATATGTCAGCAGAGATGTCTCCCCTTTGAAATAGTAAAAGCCGCTGGATTGAATCTCATGATGGAACCTCTAGGCACCTGTGTGTGTGTGAGAGCGAGAGCAAGTGAGTGTTTGGGGTGTGTGTGACTAGGTATGGGTAGTGAAGTGAGGATATCATCTATTCGAGTAGATGCTTGAACACTGTTCATAAACAATCCCCACTGTTTCCTTTTCTGACTCAGGTAGATAGTGGAATTGGAGTAGGTGTTCTCCCCTTCATCCTACCTGCCCTCTCCCCTCCCGTTAGGAGGATTTTGATTTTAATGACCCAGGAGAAGAGTTGCCAAACAGGATGAGTAGGAAGGTATTGGATACAGCTCTGTTGTATTCCTGAGCTGCATCAGAGATGCTACCCTGGGAAGGAAGGACTAGTAGTTCTGCTAGTGGTCCTAAATCTAAAAAGGAATGTGATGGGAACACAGTGCTGGTGGTACCTTCAGAAGCCCTTCCAGTGGAGCATGGGAATCCAGTTCAGGTTTTTCTCCTTCTCTCCAGAGGGCTGCAGCCAGAGTCCACTCCAGGGGTACAGCAATCCAGTTCACGACCTTCTCTTCTTCCCGGGGGCCTACACCTAGGGTCCATTCCAGGGTCTCTCTGTAGGAATCTAGCTCAGTCTTCTGCACAGGTCGCATCCAGACTCCATTCCAGATGAATACAAAAATGCAGTCAGAGTTCTAAAACAATCCCTCTTTTTAGCACTGGCATATCACAGTTCACAACTCTGTGGAGAACAGATGCCAACCATATTGTAACAGTGTTTAAAATGAGTGGTTAAAAGTCCTAGTGTGGACTGGATTTGCATTCCTGTTGAATTTCTATCCCCATCCCTGCAGTAAGGTAGTGATCCCATTGTGGAAATTCAGATTGATCCCACAATAGAGATACTTAAAACTAATATTGTGATTTTTATCTATACATCTCCAAGCATTCAGCATTATTGTCTCCATTTTAGGGATGGGAAAATTGAGGCATAGCTAGATTAAAGGAGATCTGCAAATGAATAAAATAGAGTGTTTGCCCTGCTCCTCCTGAGTCCTCGTGCTCGTGGTCTCAGGGCTGCATTCCAATTGGGGCTTTAGAGCTGCAGCCCAGGGCCCTGGGGCCCCGTTAGCCCAGGGCCCTGCAGCCCCTAAAGGCCCTGCATTCTGGGTGACCCTGCCTGGGCGGGGGAGAGGGGTGGCAGCTCCCAGAATCGCGGCCATGGGGGCAGTGCCGCGCTGTGCGGAGCCACCTGCACCTGCCGTGCACCAAACAGGAGCTACCCCAGGTAAGTGCTCTGCATCCCCTACCTGCCCTGGTCCTGAGGCTCCTCCCGCATCCTAACTCCCTCCCAGACCCCGCACCCCCATCTTGAGCCTCCTCCCGCATCCTAACTCCCTCTCAGACCCCGCACCCCCACCTTGAGCCTCCTCCTGCATCCTAACTCCCTCTCAGACCCCGCACCCCCACCCCGAGCCCTCTCCCGCACCCTAACTCCCTCCCAGACCGTGCATCCCCAGCCCTGAGCCCCAGGAGGAGAATGGTGAAAAAAAGAATGAAAAATGCAGGGGGGGGAGATAAGAGAGAATGCTCCCTCCGTGTGTGGGGGAGAAGGCAAAAATGAAGCTGAGCACAGGGCCCCACTTACTCTAAATCTGCCACTGGAGGGAGGGGGAGGATGTGGGGAAGCTCCACCCTCCCCTCTCAGAAAGTCCTAAGTGGCGCCAAACAGCGCCTGTTCTTCTGGGGGGAAGCTGCTGCTGTGCAAGGTGCTTCCTAGCGTCCTTGCCTGCCTCATTGCCTGCAGCGGGCTGTGCCTATGTGGGGTAAGCCAGGGGCACCTCCCCACCACAGTACAGTACAGTACTGTACCGTATATAATGCATTTTGTCTGCCCCCCAAAATTTTCCTTGGAACTTCACCCCTCGCATTTACATTAAATCTTATGGGAAAATTGGATTCGTTTAACATCGTTTCACTTAACGTTGTAGTTATGTTCCTGAGGGGTTACTGTATTTAAAAAATGAAGGGTTCTGCTTGTTTTTTACGTTAGCAATTGAGAGCTTGTCTAGACTGGAGACCTCTCGTGATTCGGGGACTAATGAAAGTAGGACATCAGATGAGCCAAGAGAGTGAAAGTTGAGCAAGCAAGGCATTTTTGGTCAGACTTTTTAACGCTCTTCGTTTTTTATTTGTTTTTGTAAATATCTATTTGACTTCAGTGTCTAGTTAACCTTTTGGAGAAGAGCCATCTTTGTTAAAGACTCAGCATCCCCATCTTTTCAATTAAGGCAAGAGAGTTAGCATCAAATATGCTCTGAGACCACCACCAAGTCCTCCAGAGGTACTAGGGAAAAGCAGGGATGACATTTCCAATTTTCCTAAACTAAAAACCAAGAAGGGAAAAGAAACCAAAACACTTCATTTGTACATCAAAAAGAAGAAAGCTTAGAGCAAAAGTCCAATTTTTATAAAAGCTTTTGCAGGTCACCTTTACATGACTTGCCCAAGGTCACACAGCAAATCAGTGGCAGAGTCAAGCATAGAACCCAAATCTCCTGACTCCCAGCCCAGTGTGCAAGCCACTGGGCCACATGGTGAAAATCACATCAAGGGAGTTGTCCTCAGAAACAAGGTGAGCCAGGCAAGGTTTCCTTTGAGGACTGAAGTCCCACCTTCTTGTGCAGAATCTCACCTATCTCTATTTTTTCCTTCTCTCTTTGTCCTGTTTTATTTTCCCCTTCCCCTTTTTTCCCTCTCCTGTCTGCCTCTTTGCCCCATGCTCTTTCTCTCTCTCCCTTTCTCACTTTTTTCCTCTTCCTTCATCGGTTGTAGGTGGGCTCTTTCTTCATGATCAACCTGTGCCTGGTGGTCATAGCTACTCAGTTCTCTGAGACCAAGCAGCGGGAGCACCAGCTGATGCAGGAACAGCGAGCACGGTACTTGTCCTCCAGCACTGTAGCCAGCTACACAGAACCAGGAGACTGCTACGAGGAGATCTTCCAGTACGTTTGCCACATCGTGCGCAAAGCCAAGCGTCGCACACTTAGCCTCTACAACAGCCTGCAGGACCGACGCCAGGGCCGGATGGAGTCAGGCTGTGCCAAGCTCGGTGTGAACGGGAAAGGACAGAGACGCTATAGTAAGAATCCCATGGGCAAAGCTGGGAATGCCAGTAGAGGAAGTGCAACAGCAGCTGGGAACTTCACCAACCTTGCAAAGGGCATGTGCCCCAAAAGCACAGAATTCAGAATTAATATTAGGCACTAGGAATTGGACAGCAGCATGGGAGAGGCAGGCAATGCATCAGAATAGTAGCAGGTGTTTCTGGCAGGAATTGTGGGGGAAAGCCAGATCTAGCATTCCAGGGGCTGCTGAATGATAGGATTGGGAGGTATCAACAGGTGCTTGTAAAGGGTTCCAGATCTGGAATAGCAGAGGGTATTGCAAATTGGTTTAAGTGCATTAGCAGAGTGGGAGAGAGGGGAATTGAGCTGCTTAAGCAGACCCTCTGGGACCTCAAGATTAAGGAACAAAGGTATTGCAGATCAGGATTGAGGTGTTTTGGCAGTGAAGTGGTGGGGGGTGTCCCAGGACCAGAATAGAAGGGAATGCTGAAGTATACAGTTTTGAGGTGTATTGGCAGAATTGGGGGGAGGGGGGACAGCATAATTTTTGAAGGGCCAGGGAAAACATTTTTTGAATGTGTAAAATTAGACGTGAGGTACAATTGTATAATTTAAATTGCAGTTCTAGTCTGAAGAGTGACAATAAAAATGGCTTTATGGGTTCTATGTTAATTGTCTCAAAGGCTTCCATATCAAGTGAGTTCAGTTTACGAGTGAACAGATAAAATTTCTAACTGTCAGCCTTGCAGGCTCAGCCTTTCACTTTTGCGCCTGTTCACCAATAATAAAGTTTCTGCAGCTGGCAATTTGTTGTAGCACTGGACTCTGACTCACGCTCGCATAGCTGTGTTGGTTCTGCAGAGCTAACAGGAGGAAAAAGGAATAAAAACTTAGGTCACTAAAGCCAACAGATCTGATCTCATACGCACAGTGTCATGTACAGTAACTCCTCGCTTAACGTTGTAGTTTATGTTCCTGAAAAATGCTACTTTAAGCGAAACGATGTTAAGCGAATCCAATTTCCTCATAAGAATTAATGTAAATGGGGGGGTTAGGTTCCACTGAAATGTTTTTCACCAGACAAAAGTCTATATATATATACACACATATACACAGTATAAGTTTTAAACAAACAATTTAATACTGTACACAGCAATAATGATTGTGAAGCTTGGTTGAGGTGGTGAAGTCAGAGGGTGGAAGAGGGTGGGATATTTCCCAGGGAATGACTTACTGCTAAACGATGAACTAGCACTCTACTGAGCCCTCAAGGGTTAACCCATTGTTAATGTAGCCTCACACTCTACAAGGCAGCATGAATGGAAGGAGGGGAGACAGCATGGCAGAGAGAGACAGAGAGACACACTGTGTGTGTGAGAGAGAGAGATGCATTGCCCCTTTAAGTACGCTGACCCGACTCTAAGTACATTGCCTTTTTAAGTAGATCAGCAAGTTGAGACAGCAGCTTCTACCAGCAAGCTCCCTCCATTCTGAGCCCTGTCCTGTCCCCCACCCCACTCTGTGGAGATGGGGTAAAGTAGCGGGGGGCAGGAGCAGGGGGGAAGGGGACACCCTAACATTAGCCCCCCTCTTCTTCTCCGCCCCTGCACAGCAAGTAGGAGGCTCCGGGGAGCAGCTCCAAGGCAGAGGGCAGGAGCAGAACACAGCAGTGGGGGGAGGAACAGCTGAACTGCCGGCAATTGACAGCCTGCTGGGCCGCTGCCGCACAGGGAACTTAGGGGAGCGGAGAGCTGATGGGGGGGCTGCTGGCCCACCCTGGTTCCAAGCTCCCACCAGCTAGCTGCAATGGGCTGCTTCTTCCTGCAAGCAGCGGACAAAGCAGGAGCCTACCAACCAATGTTATACGGGAGTGTTGTATAAAAAGATCTTCTACACTTTCCACAGTATGCATCCGATGAAGTGAGCTGTAGCTCACGAAAGCTTATGCTCAAATAAATTGGTTAGTCTCTAAGGTGCCACAAGTACTCCTTTTCTTTTTGCAAATACAGACTAACACAGCTGTTATTCTGAAACTTTAAACGAGCATGTTCTCTACTTGATCAGCAACGAAACAACATTAACCAGGACGACTTTAAGTGAGGAGTTACTGTATAAAGTAATGCCATTTTCAAAGTCACTCTTCTGGCTCTTTAAGATGCTGTCAAAGGGTTCCTAAATCAGGGGGCCCAGTTCTGCCTTTAGGCGCTCCATATGCTCTCATTGATTTTAAGGCCAGAAGGGATGACTGTGATCATTTCGTCCAATCTCCTGTGTGACACAGGCCATAGAATTTCACTCCCTGATTCATGCAGCGGAGGAAATAATTCTTCCCTACTGTGTGAGGGAATAATGTTGAGCCTAATCACTTGTGGCTGAACTAGAGTGTATGTTTTACAGAGGCATCCAATCTCAATTTAAAGACTCCAAATGATGATGAATTTACCACTTCCCTAGATAAGCTGTTCCAGTCTTTAATCACCCCCACTGTTAAAAAGTCTGGCTTTCCACTTTCGGTGCCTTCTTGCTATTTAAGCACACAAGTGGTGCATTGATTTGTATGCCTTATTTGAAAATTGAGCCCTGTTCCTTTAATTGTAATGATTTCTTTCCCCAGGGCATTGCCGGAAACACAACTCTCTCGAATACACTCCTCATGCCCTCGTCCAGCCCATTGCTATGACCCTGACCTCTGACCCCAACAACTGCCCCAGATGTCACAGGGTGCAGCATGAGGCAGCCCGGAGGCTCTCCATCCTGGACAGTGCTGATTCGGACCAGGAGGAAGGAGGGGCTGGCAAAGAGCAAGGAGAAGGAAGAAGAGGAAGCAAGGGTGCCACAGATCTGGAGAAGGAGGAAGAGGAGGGGGAAGAGGGCGGATGGCTGAGGCTCTGTAGTGACCTGTGGCGAGAAGTGAGGGTCAAACTAAGGGGGATTGTGGACAGCAAGTACTTCAACCGTGGGATCATGATAGCCATCCTAGTAAACACCATCAGCATGGGCATTGAGCACCATGAACAGGTAACACACCCTTGTGGGGAAGTGGGCACCTTAAACCCTATCGGCCAGAATAATATCTGGCAACTTAGAATGGGGAAGGGGGTTAAGGGGGGGGCTTTGGCACTTTTGGTTGCCTGGGGTAGAATCAGGCAGCATGGGCCTGCCGAACCACATGGTCTAGACCTGAGCTGTATCCAGTGGTGGGTCTCCTTAGGCAGCATCTAAAGTTAAATGACCCAGTGAGGACCTGAGGAGAGGCTCTTGACTCACTTCCTCTTGACATTAAATCTCTCCTCTCCCTCCTGTTGTGATTGTTTATTGAGTGCCAACAGTGCGCTCAATGTTGTATAAATATCTTAAGGAGACACAGACCCTGCCCCAAAGAGCTTACAACCTAGCAGAGGTGGAGACAAAACAGTTTGGACACAGGTGACAGTGCATGGGGTCCCATCATGGGTTTGAGATGGAGTAAGGACCGTGCGGGGGATATCCTGTGCCTGCTTCTGCACTCAGTCATGTTGGCCATGGCCATCTCCCTCCCTCATCTGTTTCATCCCCTACTTTTCTTTCTCTCTTTGTCTCCTCTTTCCCTCTCTTTTCTTTTCCCTTGTCTTTTCCACTCCCCCATCTCTCTCCCTCATTTCTCTCTTCATTAGCTGACTGAATCCTTAGTCTGTTTGGTTTAGTTTAATGTGCTCTCTAGGGATGTCACAGAGACTTCACCAGCATCTGAATTCAAATCCATCCGCTAGCTAGTCTTTCCAGCTTAATTAAGAGAAGCACAAGCACAGTCTATCTGTGGAGGACTGAGGAAAGCTGGTAAGTCTTGTGGTCTTCCCATTCCCTTTGGGGGCCCTGAGCTGGTCTGTAGGTCTGGCAGCATCAATTGGCAGGTGGATCATGACACGGAAAGCAAGTATCTATCTAGGTACGTGTATAGCTGTCATCACACTAGTCTCCAAGCACCTCACAGTCATTAATGGATTTTATCCTAACAGTATGCCTGTGAGGTAGAGAAGGGTTATCATCCCCTTACGGATGGGGAACTGAGGCACCGGGTAGATTAAGTGCCCTGCCCAAAGCCACACAGGAAGTCTCTGACTGAGCCATGAATTGACCTCCAAGGCTCCTCAGTCCTCGTCCAATACCCTATCCACGAGACTGTGTTTCCTACCCTCGCCTAGCCCTCTGATAGGAGTAGGAGTAGCCACAGTTTGATCCCAGAGTAAAAACTGCTCTGGGCACCTCAGTACCCAAAAAATGCTGTTGAGCTGCAGGGAGCTCAGAGGCGAGCAATACAAATTACCAGGAGATGGAAGGGGCTGAATCATGAGAAAAGATTAAAAGAGCTGAATCTGTACCCCTTAGCTAAGCTATGACTAAGGAGTGAGGCACAGGACAACATGATCACTGGCCACAAGTGTTCAAAGGGTGTAAACCCCAGTCAGGGAGAGGAATTGTTCAGGGTCATTGGAGGGGGTATGACTAGGAGCAACGGAATGAAATTTAGCAAAGGAAAATCTGAGGTGGAGATAAAGAATTCTTTCTCAAGATTCTTGGCTTATCAGCTCTTCAGGGCCATATCGTCCTGTGTATTGGTACAGCACCCAGCACAATGGGTTCTTGTTCGAGTGATTGCTCATGTGTATTCCACAATAGGTGTCTGTGCTCGCCATGTGCACCGGTGCCAGAATTTTTTCCCCTAGCAGTACCCGTAGGGGGGAGCGCCCCCCGCGACCCCTGGAGTGGCGCCTGCCTGGCACGGTATAAGGGGAGCTGTGTGCTCCCCCTCCCTCAGTTCCTTCCTGCTGCCAGTGAAGGTGCATCAGAACTGCTCTGCTCCAGCTTTGCTGTAGCTCATCCCCAGAACTGTTCGTTTGTTCAGTGTTAGTACCTGTAGTTAGTTAGCTGTTTAGTTAGTTTAGTCAGTAAGTGAGCCCGGGCCGGGGCCATACCCTGCGCCCGGGGTTTAAGTCATGTGGCTCTTGCAGGCGTTCTATACCAAGAAGTGACCCGCACGCAGACTGTTTGTGCTGCTTGGGAGAAACCCATATCAGCGAACGGTGCAAGATTGCAAGTCATTTAAGCCTCAGACCAATAGAGAAAGGGACATTAGGCTCCGGGCCATCCTGATGGAGTCGGCGCTGACCCCGACCTGGGCACGCCGCTCCGAACAGGTACCCGGCACCACGGCATCGGTATGCGGCAACCCTCTGGTGCCATCGACCAGTCGGCACCACTTCCCGTCAACGGGGCACACCAAGAGGGCCAAGAAGACTCCCTCTTCTCAGCAGCACCAAGGAAAGTTTGGGACAGAGTCTAGGCCCATGTCAGGCAGTCCTCGATCCCCACCGGGACCCGGGCCTCCAATTCACGTTGAGTGGAGTAGCCCAGCCCCTTTGGAACAGGCCTCTCCAGATATCCGGATGCCGTCCATGCCTGAAACCCTCTAGGCGGCCTGGGACGTTATGTCCATGCCGGTGCCCGGGGCTCCGCCAATGTCAGCCCCGTGCTCCAGAGGCAAGCCACCACTGGGATCTCCACAGTCGCCTCTGGCCTGGTACCGGTCTCGGTCAAGAGACCCCAATCACCACCCAGCAATCACTCAGGGCAGAGTCCAGGTGGATTGCCCTCGACGCTGACCAGACTCTGGCTGGGTTCCATCTGGCTGGGACTCGCAGCACCGCTCGTCCTCAAGGAGCGAATATCGGCGGGACTGCGGCAGGCGTCGCCATTGGTCCTCGTCTTGGAGAGGGTACTGCAGTCGATCATGGCACGGTCGTTGATGCCGTTCCTGCTCGGACTCCCGCTCCAAGTCTCCACCAAGACATCGCAGCCCCGGGAGTCAATTGCCGGCGTTTCGCTGTCGTGGGTCTGCCCATCGAGGCCGTTCGTGGAGCAGCTGTTACCGCTGGTACCAGTCCTCCACGTCGAGATCGCAGTCCCATGGCTGTCATAGATCCCGGCACCGCTGCTCCTCCCAGTCCAGAGACAGCAGCAGATCTTACCCCAGCCTGGTCTCCATTTGTAGCCGTCCTTTGATGGGCCAGGCCAGCCAACCCAACAGTCGGCCCCACCGGGGCCACAGCAGATGCAGTGGCACCAAGCGTCGTGGCCGGCCCAATGGTACCAGTGGGCACCGTGGCCTCCGGCGCAGCCCCTGGTGGGAGCTCGCTCGGTGGCCAGAGCTTCAGAGGCACCGTCAGCCTCCCTCTCCAGACCCCTGAGAAAGGAGGCAGTGGGACATGCGTCCTCGGCACCATGCCTGGAGTCCAATCAGGTGGTGGACCCTCCAGTGCCGACCGACACCCAGAGCACTGCACTGGCCTCTTCGCCCTGCCCGGAGGAGGTGATTGCGGCCCTGCCCCCCTCCGTCCGGCAGGAGGACTTCAGGGCCCACCTTCTTAAAGAGGGTGGCAGCAAGCCTCCACCTCCAGGCAGAGGAGATGGAGGAGCCCTCAGACTCCCTGTTTAACGTGTTGTCCCCTTCGGCACCGGGTAGGGTGGCCTTGCCTCTCCATGAAGAGGTGGCTAAGATTTCAAATGCTGTGTGGCAAACACTGGCCTTGTTGGCCCCCATCTCTGAAAGGTGGAACGCAAGTACTTTGTATGCGCTAAGGGGCATGAGTACTTGTATACCCACCCGGAGCCCAACTCCCTGGTGGTCAAGTCAGTCAACCACAGGGAACAGCAGGGTCAGCCAGCCCCGACCCCAAAGAACAAAGACTCTCGGAGACTGGACTCTTTCGGAAGGAAAGTTTAGTCATCTTCAAGCTTCCAGTTACGAGTGGCAAACCATCAGGCTCTCCTGGGCCGGTATGAATTCAATCTGTGGGGCTCCCTGCTCAAGTCCAGGAGCACGATAGGAAGAAGTTCAAGGTGCTAGTGGAGAAAGGGGCAGCAGCCGCTAGGGCATCCCTGCAGGCAGCCTCAGATGCTGTGGACATTGCCGCACGATCAGTGGCCTCCGCGGTGTCCATGAGATGGGCGTCATGACTCCTGTTCTCTGGGCTGTCCAGTGAGACGCAGTCTTCCATGCAAGATCTCCTGTTTGACGGGAAAGCTCTGTTTGCAGAGGAAACAGATACAAGGCTTCATGACATGAAAGACTCCAGCACGACCCTCCAGATTCTGGGCCTCTATGTCCCAGCTCCAGCAAAATCTAAGTTCAAGCCGCAGCAGACTCCCGCCAAGGCCGCAGCGGGACAATAAGAGATGCCCTCAGAGGCAGTCTCGGCCTGCCTCCCAGCCTGGATCCTCCAAGGGCAAGCAGATGGAGAAAAAGCATTTTTGACAGGACACTCGGGGGCACCCCACCAGTCCTCATCAGGGATCCACCCCCAATAAAGCTTCCCTTCTCCAACCGGTTGTGTGCTTTCCTCCTGGAATGGTTGCGGCTAACCTTGGACCGATGGGTCCTCAACTCCATCTCCTGGGGTTACACCCTCCAGTTTATTTCCTCCCCGCCCAACCACCCCCCACCCTCATCCCCCTTGGGGGATCCCTCGCACGAAGCTCTGCTCGAGCAGGAGGTGGGACGGCTCCTAGGTCTACGGGCAATAGAGGTAGTGTCCAAGGAGTTCATGGGCAAGGGGTATCACTCCCGTTATTTCCTTATCCCGAAGGCCGAAGGGGGGCTCAAGCCCATCCTAGACCTCCGAGGTCTGAATCAGTACATGGTGAAGCTCAAGTTCTGCATGGTCTCCCTGGCCTCCATCATCCCCTCCCTGGATCCCGGGGACTGGTACGCTGCCCTCGATCTACAGGACGCGTGCTTCCACATCCACATATTCGAGGGGCACAGGCGCTTCTCTGTTTCGTGGTGGGACAGAATCACTACCAATTCACGGTTCTCCCGTTTGGTCTGTCCACTGCCCCCAGGGTGTTTACAAAATTCATGTCAGTGGTAGCGGCCTTTCTCAGACAGCGGGGGTCCAGATATTTCCCTATCTGGACGATTGGCTTGTCAAGGGCACCTCCCGGTCGCAGGTGTGGGATCACGTGGCGCTCCTCCTGTCCAC